AGTAAAGAAGAATATCAACAAGAAGCGTTCTGGTGATAGAATTCCTGGTGATGATCGTAAAAGAAAGGATATAACACTTGATATTAGATATTAGATATGAATGTAACATTTATTTAGACTGTGCTATCCTTTGTGTTAGGCTAACTACTAAATTTTTTCGATTTCGAGTAATCTGCACCTAACCCTATTTTCTCCATAAGCCCTGTTATTTCTATTACGCGATTTTCTATAACACGATATTTTACAAGAACACAATTATCGCGTTATAGCAGAACTACCTGTACTGTAAATCGATTTTTTTTTTAAATCATGATTTTTTCCAACCCTGGTTTGTTTACAACCGACCCGTTCGGTCCAAGCGGATTCTTACATCCACAAAAAAAAAACGAGAACTTAAAGCATTACGCTTCAGCAAAGTTGCTTTCATTGGTAAAAGATATCAAAATAAGTTTCTTTCTACTTAATATGGCCCCAGCCAGAAAGTTAGCCGCTTGGTCAGAATACAGTCCAACTCGGCCCACATCCTACTGGGACCAGTTAGGTTAACGAACACATTTTACACATTTATTTTTGCATGAATGAAAGAAGTACAAAAGTACAATGATAAAAAGCAGCATAAAAGTACATATAATACTGATAAACAGTCACGTGATGTGAAACGGCTTGTAGAATTTTTTTAGATCCTGGTCCACTACTTCAGTCATCCTACAGTTTAAAGAGCTGTCATACATACTTGGCCCGTTGTTTTAGCAGTACTTTACTGTCAGACAAGACCCCCACTTGGAGTGTCACTAGTTTTGCTTCATTATGGAGTAGGTTGATTAACAGATAGAAGTTAAGTTGTCTTTTTCTTGCTTTCAAGTTAAGGCAATTATGCCATCCTTCACAGTCATTATTTGGGCAGACACTCCTTTTAAATACACTCCAAGCAGATGGGGTCCAGATGTCATTCCTGAACCTCTAGTCAGCTATTTGTTTGAAGTGTGCAAAGTGGGCCATGCATCCTGTAATCTAACACCAACATTAAGAGACTTTGTCCTTTACACTTTATAAACAGACAGGAAACTCCTTTGTTATGAATCGTGGTTCATTGATTAAGTTCTAACATAAACTCCTAAAATTCATACCAATTGAACCCTTGGTATTCACTCATTCACACACTTCATATTTCAGTGAACCAAGAGACATAAAATAAATCTCAAATTCAATCCTGAACCTCTAGTCAGCTACTGCTTGAAGAGTGCAAAGTGGGCCAAGTTAGTAAGGTGTGGGCCCAGTTGGTTGTTTAAGATGGGCCGAGTTGGCTAAATGGGTGGGCCGGGTTAGTTAAGATTGGCCAAGTTAGTTATTTAAGATGGGCCGAGTTTGAGGTACACCGGTTGGTCACATCTCTATTACACACTGTTGGCATGTACTGGCAGTAAATATTCATCCATTGGCTGTCCACAGGTTCCTGCCATGTTTACCTGAGGTTATACTCCTCATTTAGTCAGTTATATCCTCCTCCTCCTTGTAGGTTAGGTTAGGTTGGTTCTTTTGGTATAATAACAAAGGTTTTTTGTGTATTTTTGTGTTTTACTCAAATTTGACCTCCATTTTTGTGCATATTATATTTGTTAAAAATTAAAATTTAAATTTTTTGCAAAACTGCAAATTTGCAAAAGAAATGAAGGTAAAGGTGTAGAAATGGGTGACTACCAGAAGGAATTGTCTGAATTGGTAGAAATTGTTTCTACACATTAATATATTAAACACAAAAATGGAAATGACAATGCATAGAACCTAATAGAACCTGACCTATTGAAAAATTACTATCCCGGTTATCCTTAATTTCCGGCAAAATTATCACAGAAGAAAAATGTTTTAGAATTGTCTAAACATAACGTAATACATATTAATAACAGCGGAGAAAGACCGGTGCAAGACTATAAATTCATCCACTTTTTAGTCTTACACTGGTCTTTCTCCGCTGTTATTAATATGTATTACGTTATTACGTTATGTTTAGACAATTCTAAGACATTTTTCTTCTGTGATAATTTTGCCGGAAATTAAGGATAAGCGAGATATTAATTTGTCAATAATATTATTATATTTGGTCAGTCACAAGTGTCGCCATTTGTTGTTTACGTCTCACAGAGAAGGTCTGACCACCCATCATGCAGTGCTCCTTACCTCTGTCTTCGCTTCTTAAGAGTCTACATCGCATGTGTGGGGGGGGGGAGGGTTGTTGTTTTTTATTGGCTATAGCGATAGGAGACTTATAATTGAGCAAGAGTTTATTGTCTTGGCCACTGAACAATTCGTGGGTGCCTCGGGAGCAGAGATTTGATTTTTCAGTCCCAGAAAAACCAGATATGGCTCTACAGTTGGAAAGAGCTGTGCAGACATTGTGAAAGACATTATTTTATGTCAATTAAAGAGTTTCATCAGAAAAATTGTGTTAGGTTAGGTTAGGTTAGGTTTTGTTCGTTTTTTTATGTATGTTATTTACTCGAAATAAAATTACATTTTCGTTAAAATTGAGGGGGGGGGGGGATCAAAAACTATTGATTCCCGGCTGAAATGAATAAAATTCATTCTAAACTCCTCAAATAACATCGGAAAAACATATTTTCATTATTCAAGCAAAGACCGGTGCATTAATGAAAATTAACCAAAAATTGAGCGTTTAAAACTTTCGGGGCTATATGTCCTTAAGTAGAATAATGCCCCAAAACCTGAGGACGGTCCGACTAATTACCCAAACGTACCCGCAATGAAGTCAAATAATGGTCCTACATGAATATATCGGGTTACCAATCACTTCTCGACTAGTATTTGGTGTCATAGTCACAAAAAATTGGTAAACTTAATTTAATCTGAGTTAATAGATCGCGTGCTTGTACCGAGGGAGCGAGTAATTACCCAAATGAACCCAAATGTACCCGCAATGAAGTCAAATAATGGTCCTACATGAATAAATCGGGCTGCGAATCACTTCTCGATTATTATTTGGTGTCATAGTCACAAAAAATTGGTAAACTTAATTTAATCTGAGTTGTGTTGGGTTAGGTTAGGTTAGGTACATGCACTCGATCTATTAACTAAGATTAAATTAAGTTTACCAATTTTTTGTGACTTTATGACACCAAATACTAGTCGAGAAGTGATTGGCAGTCCGATTTATTCATGTAGGCCCATTATTTGACTTCATTGCGGCTACATTTGGGTAATTAGTGGGACCCCCTGAGGCCAGCCAATGAACAAATATTTACCACACCAGCTCCTAACTGTACCTGCTTTGGTCAAGTCTGGTCTTGAAACAACTCACACTTGGTGCCGTCACAACACTCTGGCAGGTTATCCACCTTTACTAAATATTACACAAACAATAAATCCTCGTTATTTATTGGGCTTTCACGAAGCAAGTGGAAAAAAGACAAATCATTGAGTTGGAAGAGAAACATGAAAGTTTTAGAGTAATTTAGTTTAGCATGTATTACACTGTCATGTCATAAGTTTATTAATAAATGTCCGCAGCAAAACATATATAAGTTTTGCTGCGTCATTTTCTTTACCTGATTAAAGAACAAACTCGTGGAAGAAGCCTCAGTGGTCCTACACTGCTCGCCATGTTTACACTACTGAGCTGCTTTATATTTGGGCTACCTCAAACTTCGCCTAATTGTCTCTTTAAGCATCAAACAAGAAATATTATTTTATAAACCTCACCAACTTATTAATTTTATTATAATGTAAGTAAATTCCACGAAAAGGTTTTTAATATCAGGCTATAATACAAGACATTATGAAGGGACCCCAACAGGACACACTGGTTCCCTGTTGTCCTGACCAAAGCAACAGGTCGTCCAGGCAGGGCTGTACACTGGTTCCCTGTTGTCCTGACCAAAGCAACAGGTCGTCCAGGCAGGGCTGTACACTGGTTCCCTGTTGTCCTGACCAAAGCAACAGGTCGTCCAGGCAGGGCTGTACACTGGTTTCCTGTTGTCCTGACCAAAGCAACAGGTCGTCCAGGCAGGGCTGTACACTGGTTCCCTGTTGTCCTGACCAAAGCAACAGGTCGTCCAGGCAGGGCTGTACACTGGTTCCCTGTTGTCCTGACCAAAGCAACAGGTCGTCCAGGCAGGGCTGTAGGAATGACCCAATCTTGTTTACCGAACACGCTGATTGGTTCAACTGCTCGCGTTGTGATTGGTTGCGAGTCCATGACGTAATATTACTATTTTCTATAATATAATGTGTGGTGAGGGGTAACGGAGATCCCAGATATAGTAATTATATTAGAGTAGTCCTCATACTCAGTGAATTTCATTTTTCCTGTCATTAGTTTTATATAGTTCTGAATAATAAACACTGCATTATACACCATTCAGAGTGTTACAGACCGTTGACTTCCGTCTCGACTCTCAATATCGCTTCGTGTGTGACTCAGCAAATATAATTCTGTTAAAATATCGCTAGTAAAATGTAGGTAAGGTAATTAAATACATCTAAAATTTATTTCTGTGTATTCTATATGGTATTTTAGCCATGAAAAAGCATATTTCCTAAAGTCGGTAATTTACCGACTGTCGGAGCAGTGACGTCACAGCTTACAGACCACGTCATCAATTTACCGATTATCAGACGAAATACCGGATTTGGACCAATCAGCGAGTTCGATAAACAAGAGTCGGAAATTCCGACAGTCCAGGCCGGATACTCAAAACACCTCATAAGTTATGTATATTAACGAGATACAGTACCATATATTGCAGACTCCTCATAGTCCCGTAAATTTAGCATACTCAAAATTTAATTACAGTTCCTTAATCAGTCCGTAAGTTATCATAACTAGTGTTTACCCCGTAAATTCAGTTCTCTTGTCGGAAGGTAGGTGACAGTGCAGGAGTTAGTTGGCCAATCAGCGCTCAGTTAACAAAATCATCAACCAATCACAAGAGAAGGAGAAATCAGCCGAGAGCGACGCACGTGATATTAGTTTGTAAACAAAAGATGGAAGGACAACCACCTGAGGAACGACCAAATTTCAGTGCGCCATGGTGTGTGAAGTATGCGCCATGGTGTGTGAAGTATGCGCCATGGTGTGTGAAGTATGCGCCATGGTGTGTGAAGTCACCTAAAGAAAGAAAATAATTTTAGGAAAACTGGACTCGAGATGTACAATCAAAGTGAAGAATCATGTTTGGTAAGAAGTAGTAAAGGCAGTGAATGTTGTGGCTCTACCCAACAATGTTATTGAGAGGTCAAGCGGATGTTTTCTGATTTACGTGTAAGCGTTAAGAAAAAAACAGCACAACAGTGGGAGACAGAGACGTGACCGATCGCCCGGGCGGCTAGTGAGCCGATCAGTGGCGAAGAGGAAAAAGGTAAAAAGTAAAAGTAAGATAATAAATATACTGGTGGAACAGGTAAGTCATAATATTGTTAGCCTAGGTATTGATTGCCACTCTGAAACAAACTTAACTCTGTTTTTTCTGAGGCTTGCTACGATTTGAGGTGGTTGTAGCTAGTCGGTATCACTGCTAATAATTGCCCCACAATTTTTGGATTTTCTTAATAAACCTATCTTATAGTTGAGACAATGTTAAGACACTAATCATTGTGTCGCAAATGACATGGAACAGAGATATTTAATATTCTGGGTGGTCCAGGGTGGCGGAGGCCTCCCGTTGGTAATGAAGTTAGGTTAGGTGGGTTTGGTTACTGTTATAAACTATGTTATTTTTGATGGTAATGAAGGTCATAATATGTAGCTTACTATAGAATTCCTCATGTTCTTTTTCGTTAATTTTGAGTCATCAAATGATTTAATTTCATATTTGGTATACACATTAATATGCAAATCTTACTGTTAGGCTTATAGGCAATGGTGTTCTATCTTATGCTTTTACAACTAATACAGGCTGAAAAATTATGGCTGCTATTATTATTTTTGACTTATTTTACCATTTATTGTTTGTTACCATAAATCTAATTAACTTTTGACATAGATAGAGGAGAATTTGGGGGGCTACAGCTACAATGATAGGTTAGGTTGTAATGTTTTGAACTATTTTAATAGATTCCTTTCTAACATAGTAGTGTACATATAACATAGTTGTGTACAGTGTATGTAACCACAGCTCACAGTAAGAAAGTTTGAATTTTTTTTTTCTCTTGAAGGAGGCGGCCTCCAAATTGAAAACACCCTGTACATACACTGCAATTGACGAAGCAGTTCTTCAACTCTTAGATCCAGCCTTTATTCATGGGATTCCAGCGATTTTGGAAAGTGAAGAACTTATTGATGGTAATTCACTCAACATACTTTTCCAACCCCCTGATATATTTTGTTCTTTTCTGTCCTTGTTTTTATTTCCGAAAATACTTTTGGTACCATTTTTTCACTTTTTTCTTACGTTTGAAATATACAGTAAATTTATTTTTTGTATATTTTTTAAAAATAAGCAACATCAGTAAGTTGGTTAAATTTATAGCTGGCATATTGCTTCCCAAAGTTAGATATTAAATGTTGTTATAACTCGTATGTTCATGGAAAAAATTGAGAAGTGCAAATATAAGAAATTTAACGCCTGGAACTAAATGCCGTATATTATAATTAAATCAATTTATAATATTGTAACCATGTTAACTTAGTTTATATTTACATTTAAAAATATTTTATACAAATCTTTTTAGATGGTCAACTCTATTTTTCAGACCATTTTTTTTTCTAAAAACTTTTAGATATTTATATATTTTAATTATACCCTTAACATAGACTTCAATCAAACTATTATACATTTCTTTCCAGAAGAAGAAAGAGAACAAACCCCAGGACCCTCAGGAGCTAGGTTTACTGCTGTTCATTCCAGCGAGGAATCTATGTTTAGGCCCATTCAATAGAAAGAGGATTCTCTAACCATCTTGCTGACTGAGGATATACACACTTGTTAACTAATAACACGTGTTGCAGTGCTACTAGGATAATGTTTACCCAGGTTTTGGGTAAAAGTTCACACCACAATCAAATGTATAGCTTTGAAAACAGACTCGTGTACTTATTTTTATTTTTTAAAGGTTCCTTTATTTTGGTAATATGTAGTTAATTTCCAGTTCAACCTGTTTAATTAATTAGTTTGTATGATTCAAGTAGGTTGAAACAGAAATAATGGTGCAAATTCACCAACAGCCTACTGTAATCACTGCTATTTAGCACACATTATTCTCCAAAGAGCAAGTTGTTGCATTGGTTCTTTCATAAGGATGTGCTGTCTCATGCTAAATTGTATAGCTTAACAAGCCAAGAGTTTGCTATTTGTTTTCTTTATTATTATAGTAGTACAGTATTTGGTTATAAGTTTACTTTAATATACGGGTGTTGATGCAGGTACATTCTAGTCATGAGAGTTCCTTCAGTAATTCTAGACATATGAAAATTATACTGTATTCCATTTTTAAATCTTAAAAATGGCAACAATTAACAGTAGTTGTATTAATTTTTCACAACGATGTGGTGACTCATGTCAAATTGTGTAGTTTAAGAAGCAAACAGTGGCAATATTTTTTTATTGTTTCAATTTCTCAAATATGTTTTATATAATGATTTTTGCTTTCACAAACTTCAGTGCCTTTGGTATTTAGTAGTATTAAAAGTATACCGTATTGGAATCAAATTGCTCAAGGATATAGTACATACTTTATTTTCCTATATAAAATGCTTATCTTATGAAGGTAAAAGAAAGCCATTTATTTTCTGTATTTTCTATAAAGAAATTCATTTTATTATGTACAGTATATTGAAAATAAAAGTTAATTCAGTGTATGCTTTATTAGCATTACCTCTATACTGCAATAAAAAATAATTATTAAACAGTAGTATTTTTATGTTGATACTAACTTATTCAAAGTTTAATCATTAGGCCTAGAATAGAAGGGTTATGCCTAAGAAGAAAAACAATTACGGCCGAAGGTTTTGCCTGGCATTAGGGGTAAAATACTTAAAAATGCACGGCGTGTTAAAATCTCTGTACTCATTTAAAAATGAATAAAATTGTACAGTATGAAAGTAAATAATAGTGTTAAAAGCATTTAAAAGACATCCTCTTGCCTCTTGTCTGTCGCATACTCGCATTTGAAACTGCTTTCTGGTAGGAACAGCAGCATTCTCAGGAGCCGGAGAGTCTTTTGACCCGTGTTCATTTTATTAGGTAGTAAATATCTCCATTAGCCGGAATCCCTGAAACCCGGAACTTTCTGAAAGCTGTAATTAATTCCCAAAGCATGATTTTGCAGGAAACTTATGGCTTAGGTAATGATTTTCAAAGGGGCACATTTTCCTGAAAATTATGAGAAAAGGTTCCCAGATAACCGAGAAAATTCCGGAGATGGGGGATATATTTCTGGGTTCGAGAGATGATGTAATGGGCAATTTCAGGAACTACCGAGAACATTTTTCCATTACCATAAACATTCTGGGGATGAGGGATATTTTCTTGATTTGAGATAATCATCTCGTTAACGGGAAAACTCTCATTCACGGAAGTGCTCTTCACCAATTGTTCCGGCTAGCAGAGATCTTGTAGTGGTTACTCTACCACGCAGCAACTCCTTTTCCAAGCAGCAACTTCCCAGCACCAGACTTTTATAAATAATATATTTTATATAAGAAAACCACCATTAAGAGTTTCCTTTCTCCAACCCATCCTGAGTGTGAGACAACATCACGTAACCCTAAAATCTCACAGTATTTGGTGTTTTACCCATAATAGAATTTGGGTAAATAACCATGGGCCTAATGTTGGCCTGTGACAAGACACATAAGCTATAATAAGATAGCCTTATTCTGGGCAATTTCAAATTAATTGGTTAATGCTAGTATAGCCTTGCCTAACCTAAATGACAAATCACTTTTCTTAAATTACTCATTTAGCCTAGAACATGGTGTTTTCCTTTGAATGTTTGGGTCATTTGGTCTGAATTGTCTTCAAGTTCATACATAAAACAACAATTTAAAACATGAAAATATATCGGATTAGCCGTAAATTTTCTTAAATTAATACTCTACCCTGTGATACTCTTCATTGAAAGTCTAGAACTAGGCCTAAGGTAGCTGCTAGTCAAAGTGTCTCACTGACGGCCTGACACTCACCAAAAAAACCATGTACACATTCTCTAACACCAAGCTACATTGCTAACAATATAGAAGAGAGGAACCCATGGGCTAGAGTTGAGGAGGTGGTTCTTGTATATGTTCTGGGTATCAAGTTCTATCTACAGGAGCGAACACAAACACCTGTAGGGTTTTCGTAGGTTCTATTTACTGGATAAACAGAGATACACAAGGGAGGTGGCGCTCCTTACTCTGTCTGGGAGGTCAACTAGCCTTTCAGGCGACATGTGGCAAGTGATACATTAGCAGCTTCCATATGTCGCCAGGCACATTAATTAAGCATGTGGGACATGGTAAATACATTGCCACACGCTGCTAGCTAGGCTGAATAAATAATGTAGGCTATATAAATGGAGCGCATACATAATATACATACAGCATACATAATATATATATACACCTCCCTCCCCCCCTATACACTCATAGCAAAGTCTTGAGCGGACCTTTTCTTTTGAATCCGTTCTGAGCGTCGAGGGACTTGATCACTGGGGAGGGTATGGGACTCACACTGGTGGCGGGGTCAGCAGAAGGCGTTGTTACGGGACGGAGAAAACGGCGGTTCCTCCACCACACACGACCACTGGGTAACAGCACCTGGAAGTCCCATGACCTACCGAGACCCATGACTACGCCCACTTTGTCCCAACGTAGGGAGGTCGGGTCCTGAACACGGACTTGGGTGCCAACACTCAACTTGGGAAGAGGACGGGCGTAGTTGTTGTAGCGGGCGACGACATTATGAACGCGTTCGGCGGCTCGGCGATCACAATCCTCTGTCTTGGCCTGCCACTCCTTGGAGAAGGATTGAGGGTGAGCAGGGACACAAGAGCGAAGGGGGCGTCCATACAAGACCTGGGCAGGGGAGCGTCCAGTGTAGTTAGGTGTGTTGCGGAGTTCAAGAAGACCCCGGTCGAAGGCCTCACAGTCAATATTCCCAGAAGGGGCCACTTTGAGGATGAGGTGCTTCAGGGATTTGACATCAGCCTCAGCGTGGCCATTGGGCTGCGGGTAATGGAGCGATGACAACACATGCTGGACTCCCCATTGGTCAAGGAACACAGCAAAGTCCCGGATTGTGAACTGGGGCCCTCCGTCGGTTCGCAGACGCACAGGAACGCCCACGTCACGGAAGTAGTGGCGGAACTTGCTGATGGTGGCGGCAGACGTCGTGTCATTACCGCACTTGATGACAACCGGCCAACCAGAGAGACGGTCTACGATAACAAGGAAGGACTTTCCTGACACACAGAAAAAGTCGGCCGACACAGACTCAAAGGGGCGGGTGGGGTTGTCGTCACTCATGAAGGGTTCCTGCTGCTGGCTGGGTTGTAATACTTGGCAGGGCTCACACGCACGGACAACATTGGAGATGTCGGAGTTGATGCCGGGCCAGAACACAGTCTGTCGTGCACGTCGTTTGGTGGCCTCAGCTCCACGGTGACTGTCGTGAAGGCGAGCCAAGACGCAGGGACGTGAGGCAGCAGGGACAACTACACGTGCTCCGTACAGAACAAGGTCTCCGTCGCAGTAGAGTTCATCGCTGAATTTCCAATACGGGAGCAGAGTCGTAGCGGTTGCTAGGAAATCCATTCCTCACACACTCGACGAGTTGGACGTAGGAAGGGTCATCTCGGGCCGCTGTTCGAAGGTCCTCCATTGCCTTGTCGTCATCTGGTGACAGGTTCGAACGAAGGGATTGGACGGCGTGTAGGGTGACCACAGTCCTGACGGAAAGAGAGAGGTCGGCGTCGAGCACATGGTCTTCTGGAGTAGGGCGGCTGACAGGAGAGCAGGATAAGGCATCAGGGATGCAGAGCTCCTTACCAGCACGCCACACTGCTGTGAAGATGTACGCCGAGAGCTTCTCCTTCAGACGCTGGAGGCGAGGGTTCTCAACGGCGTCTAGCGTGTAGTGGTTGAGGATCGGGAGAAACGGGCGATGGTCGGTCACTAGGTGAAAGTGTTGCAGGCTCATGAGGTAGAACCTGCACTTGGACATCGCCCAAACCACAGCCAACAGCTCCATCTCAATAGTGGCGTAGCGCGTCTCGGTGTCAGAGAGGAAACGCGAGCCACACTGGACGAGCCAGAACTGCCCTCCACCATGATCATGTAATAGGGCGTATCCCACGCCGTACAAGCGTGAGGCATCTGTCTGCAGAACCGTCGGCAAGGCTGGGTCAAAGGTGGCGAGGACATGTGGACTAAACAGGGCCTGTTTCACTTGCTGGAAGGCCTTGTCGTGGTCGGGGGTCCACAGGAATGTCCTCTTGGGGCTCATCAGGGGGCGAAGTGGTTGGGCAGCTGCGGAGATGTCCGGCGAAAACTCTGCTAACTGGTTGACGAGACCGATGAAGGACCTCAAGTCGGTGAGGTTAGCAGGAGTGGGGAAATCCGTGATGGCGCGGACCTTCTCCGGGTCAGCTGCAATACCATTCCCTGAGAGGGTGTACCCACAAAAGTCCACTGAAGAGCTGGCCAGAACAAATTTGTCGGCATTTAGGGTGATGCCGTGCGTCCGGCACCTGTTGAGTACCTCGTAGATATGGCAGAGGTGATCCATGTAATCCTCATCGTACACGAGTATGTTGTCGACCACTTTCGCGCAGTTTGCCAGACCTTGTAGAGTCATATGACCTCGAAGGCAGAAAGCGTCTCCTGTAGCGGCGAATCCCATGGGGCCACGGCAATAACTGTAACGTCCATGCGGGGTGATGAAAGTTGTAAGTAGTCGGTCTTCTTCGGCAAGCTCTATCTGCCAGTATCCACACAGGGCGTCCATCGTCATGAAGAAGCGTGCCTTCGGGTTCACACTGCGTATAGCTGCAAAGGGCGTGGGAAAAGGGTGAGCAGGACGAGACACCTGGCTGTTGAGCTTGGAGAGGTCAGTGGTGATCCGAACACCACCTTTGGGATTTATGACGACTACCATAGGGTGACACCATGGAGACGAGTCATCGCCGGCTGGTGCAATAATTTCTTGGGTGTCCATGGAGTCCAGCTCGTTTTTGACCACATCACGGAAGGCCAGGGGGACCAGTCGAGGGGTGTAGATTGCGAAGGGTTTCGCGTCGTCCCTCAACTGGATCCTCATGGGGAGGCCCTACCATCTTTTTGAGAGGCTTGGATTCCAGAGCAGACTTGGTCACCAGAACGTCGCTGAATTCCTTCAGGAAGCACTTCCGAGCATCCGAAGGAGAGGTGTCACTGGCAAGAGGCAGGGGTAGGGCGACAGCAGGGTAGTTGCTGCTCCCTTCGCGCACCCTATTGGCGTGTTTTACCTCAAGAATAGGTTTTGGGAAGTCCTGGGAGATGATGGCCAACTCTTGAAAATGTCTGTAGGACAGCAAAGGAGTCAGGACACCGTTATGCACATCAATCCAGGCTTGACACGACCTGTTGCCAAAGGCGACCTGTGCTTGGAGTGAACCTAGGGCTGGGGCCATCTGTGAACCATCTGCCGTAAAGCGGAGATCCTTGGGGGGCGGTCCTAGATCACTTGGAGAGAGCCCCAAGCATTGCAAATGCTGGGGACCGTTGACTGTAGCATCAGCGCCGGTGTCGGGCAACATCTGAAGACGGGATGACACACTGCCGTAGGTCACGATGACGCTGATTTGCTGGGGA